TCACAGCTGAAACACCAGCAACGGCCAGAAGCTTGCATGAAGAGACGTTGGAAGACGAAGATACCGAGAGACATCATCACCATGCCTTGTTGGACTTTGACAACAATGATGCAGAGTCTTTCAAAATGGAGCCCTCCTTGATCCCAAGAAAGCTCTACATTCCATTTTGTACGAGCTCGCTTAAGGCTTTCGCTGAGTATATGTATACTGGGCAGGTTGGCAACAAGTGGACATTGAGACCTTGTCTTCTCGATTGTATGCTTATCGCCAGATATTTCAAAGTGCCATTGCTCTACGATTTGATCAGTGAAGTGTTGTACGGTATCATTGGAAGAAAAGAAGCACACATTATCAAAGAAGGAAAACGTCTCAAGAAGAAGTATTTTGAATGCTTCCAAGATCTCGGAAGACATGTTGACCTGAACCTCAGACTTCCAATTGACGAGTACGAGGGTTTCATGGACACTGTTGATGACGGATATTTGGATATTGCGTTATTGAGAAAGTCTTCCAGTCTTCACAAAGCTAGTGTCTCGAGTCAAGGTAGCAAAAAGCGGAACACATCGACACCAGCAAGCATTCCAGAGGAGAAGACTAATTTCAATGACGGCGACTACTTCCAGTCGAGAAGTAGACGTTTGGGATCTGAAGAGCCAAAGTCGCCTAAATCAGGCCAACTTGAGCCTTCAGAGGTGACACAAGTCGAGGACTCAAAGTCTGAAGGAGATGAGGACGACGATATCTATCAAAGTGATATTCACTTCCTCGACTTTAGCGACGACAGAAACTTCGGCGTGAACCCTAGGTCTAAGTCTGTCTTCGATCGCCTGGCATACGACTCAGTAACGTATTTGACAACTGAGGGTGACGACGAAGAAAAGGAGAAATCGCTTCTGACAACCTTGGAAGTGCTTGTTTCGCCTGATTCACCACCACCGAGCGACTATGTGATTGATCTTATTCACGGTATTGCCTCTGTCTGTACCGATGTTAAGCTCATGTTGCGTGCTCTCAATGTGAAACACATGTCAAAGGCATTGAAGCAGACAGAGCAGGACTACGAGAAGCTCGCACGTCTAGCACGCCAAGCCCAGGCACCGGAGGACGACACCCAGCTGCAATTGACTGTATCTCAGCCAGGTTCTGGAAGACCTTCTGTTGCCACATTGAGACCTGCGTCTGGTTCCGGTAATGTAACGCCATTCAAGCGTACGCCTACAGCTGAATTGAGTGAACTGGGTCCTTCCAACACTCAGCCACAGTCTATGAGGTCATCTACCTCTCTCAACACGACGACTTCTGCGTTCAAGTTTACGCCGCTCAAGTCCAGTACAACGGGTGGAAGGACAAACTCGAAGAGTCTGCTTGAAGACAACAAGGACTTGGACAAGCGTATAGCACAGATCATTAGGCAAGAAGAGAAGACCAAGCTGAAAGCCGCTAAAGAAGAGAAACAGAGGGCTGCTAAAGAAGGAAAACGTGCCGCCAAGGAAGCAAAGCGTGCCGAAAGGGAGAAGGTTGAGAAGAAGGAGCCAGAACTGTTATCGCAGCTGACGCTGAAGCATACTGCTACACCGCTTGAGAGAAACAGCACAGAGCCGCAGAACTTCTACTCGTCCAGAACCCGTGACGACGATGCTGCATCTCAGTACTCCAAGCCGTCGATTGCCTCGACCACCAAGGAAAAGAAGAGTGGCATCATGCTGCGTATTGGACACAAATTCAGACATCCAGAGCCTCTCAAACAGGCTGATTCCAACGACAGCGACGTGAGATCCATTTCCACCACCAGATCGTCCAGCAGTCAAACTTCCAGCAGCAGCAAGAAGTCGAGTCGCCGGACTGGTTTTTTCGGACTACGCAAGAGAAACTAACCATCATATAGCAAATGCTGCAACTACACACCATGTAGGTGACGCGATGGTTGATGCTGCACAAAAAAAGGTTGCCTCACTAAAGCCGTGACATTTGCCTCCAGAACAAGGAGATCCATTGTTGACCCTTTGTGCAAGATGTGACATCCCGAGGCCAATTCACATCACAAAAAATTGTGGATTAACTCTTTTCGAGGATCCCTCGATGCGAGGCCACACTTTATCAAGAAGCCTCTTCTGAGCCACAAACGCTAGTCTAAAAATCGGTACTGTGGTTGCGCCGCACATAAATCCAGCGCAATTTGCAACCACCGCAAGTCACCACAGCAACAGCAACTGGACCACCACGGAGCTCCGCTCATAACCTGTTTACAAAGCGGTATAAATTGATTCCAGATCCCACGGTATTTCCAGATTAACCAAAAAAACATGGCCCCATCCCTCGACAAAACTTCCCTCCCATTGAACGACGGCACCAAGATCCCAGCTATTGCCTTGGGTACTTGGAAGTCCGAGAACAAGGACGCTGCCAATGCCGTCAAGATCGCTTTGCAAAACGGCTACAAGCACATTGACACCGCCTCCATCTACGGCAACGAAGAAGGCGTTGGTCAAGGTATCAAGGAGTCTGGTGTTAAGAGAGAGAACATCTACCTCACCACCAAGTTGTGGAACACCGACCACGTTAACCCAGAGGCTGCCTTGGACAAGTCCTTGGAGAAGTTGGGCACTGACTACGTTGATTTGTACTTGATCCACTGGCCTATCAGCATTGACGACGAGAGAGCTGCCAAGGCTGAGGACTACGACTTCATCCAGACCTACAAGGCCTTGCAGCCATTGGTCAAGACCGGTAAGGTCAAGTCCATTGGTATTTCCAACTTCACCAAGGAGAGAGTCCAGAAGTTGTTGGCTGACAAGGATGTCACCATCAAGCCAGTTGTCAACCAGATTGAGGCCCACCCATTGTTGGTCCAGCCTGAATTGACCGACTACTTGGCCTCTGAGGACATTTTGGTCGAGGCCTACTCGCCATTGGGTTCCGATGGCTCTCCTTTGCTCAACAACCCTGTTGTTAACGAGCTCGCTGAGAAGTACGGTGCCAACTCTGGCCAGATTCTTATCTCCTGGGCTGTGCAGAGAAAGACCGTGGTTTTGCCAAAGTCTGTGCACGAGCAGAGAATCATCGACAACCACAAGACCGTCGAGTTCTCCAAGGAGGACTTTGAGAAGTTGACCAACTTGAGCGGCAAGTACGGTGTCCACAGAACCAACAATCCTCCATGGAATGTTTTCAACTAGAATGATTAAAGTTACGACCTAGACCAATGAAGTAAAGATTAATTGAGATTGTAGTATGTTTTTTGTTGACCAGTTCTAGCACAGAGCGATGATCTGTTTTAGTATGGATTGAGAAGAAACGAGTGAAATTAGCAGTCCACTTAAGCCTCCCTTTGGATAAACTTCATTCTTTGCAAAATAGACTTTGTTCTTTACGCACGGAAATGGGATTAGTGCAGAATTCGGGTAAACACAAGTCAAGACTACTCGGCTGCAAAAGTCCGCGCTAGTTCATACCATTACTTAGTTCAACAAATGACTCCCGCTTGTCCAATGATACAAAAAACCACAAAAAAAGTATCAACCCGTTAATCGCGTCAATTACCGATTATTTAAGAACTTCCCACACATCAATTACCTCTATATTTCTCAAATCAGAACCCCGGAATAATTGCGGGGCATTCTTGAGTCTTTCCGGCGGAAGCTGCAGGAGGTGCGTTTTTACGAGCCATGAATATCACGATTATTCTTGTCCTTTTCGCCAACGAATACTACTTCTTTTTTTCACCCAGTCCTTCAAATGCCTCAGAATAGTACCGAAGTCAACAAAGAGCTTGTCGAGTGGGCGTATGCCAACCTCCTGAACTTGCCTAGAGGCGAGCAGTACGAAAAGATGATTCTGGGTGTCGTCTACGATTGCATGAACAAAGAGCTTTGGATGGCTAGAAACCTCAGCACGGAAATGGCGCTTGACTACGCTAACATCCGTATGAAAGACTACAACTACGATCTCGAGAAATACTACGCTGCTCGTTACGAGTACTTGGGAAAGCTCTTTGGAAAGGTCGAGCCTGATCTTGTGCTAGAGGCACCTTTCTACGTGGACTACGGCTGCAATACCAAGTTCGGCAAGAGAAACTACTTCAACTTCAACCTCACCCTCTTGGATTGTACTCTCATTACTTTTGGCGATAACGTGATGGCAGGACCTAACGTGACCTTCACCACGGCTACCCACCCCACTGACCCTACATTGAGAAAGAAGGGTGACGAGTATGCGTTCCCCATTACCGTTGGAAACAATGTGTGGTTTGGAAGCAACATTGTGGTTTTGCCTGGCGTGACAATTGGCGACGGTTCTGTTGTTGGAGCTGGTAGTGTGGTGACGAAGGATGTTCCTGCCAACACTGTGGTGGTGGGCAACCCTGCCAGGGTGATTAAGAAGTTGACTCCCGAGGACAACATCGAGGAGCTCAAGGACGAGTTGAAGTAGGAGCTGCGCTCGTGTCATTGTATAGAAAGCATCTGCATCAACAGGTTGGCGTTGTAGTGAAGCTGGTGGTGATTGCAATAGCTTATCGAGGCGGAGGTTTCAGGAGCATCAATTGGTCAATTCGTGATGCTATTGAGGTTATCATTCTTGTTTGGTGGACGGTTTGTGAGGGCTTGTTCGATATTGGTCAATGGGTTGTATCGATCAGGTACTGCTGTTATGAGTTGTCATACTATGCATGCTTGTAGAGCAACTTATTCTCGGATTTACTCTTCATCATTGACTTCAAGACGACAATCCAGGTTTCGATGATTATATTCCATCTACCATGTACCATGCTCTTGTGATACATCTTCCCACAGTGCACCACAACAGAACCTCCGAAAATCACCACAAATCAAAATTCTCTAAATCAATTCTAAGCAACGAATTCTTCTGAAACAGCTTGAACCTCCCCAATAACCTCCCTCATGTTTTTCACTCCACCTCGTGCAAGATCACCGCCTCCAGACTGACCCGAACCTGCATTCTCCAACCTCACTACTACACCTTTCATCTTTATCCACCACAACATGTCCAATTACCAAAGCGGCCCAGACCCGCTGGACTTTATTATTCCCGATGAAGCTACACCCCAGCCTGCTCCTTCACAACCTGCCAGCTCCGGGTTTTCCTGGGCACCAAAAGTCGACCTTTCCTCGGCCTTCAGTCCGTTTATAAAATCACCCCAGTTTCAGCAAAACAACACGATCCGTGAACGCCAGTACTCCGGTGGCGACACTTTAGACGAGCCCGTGTGGCACACTTTGAAACGTGACTTGCTCCAGATCGGCCGCCGTTTGGCTGTTGTTGTGTGGCCTGCTCAGCTTAAACAATTGGCATACAAGAACCAGCAGAACTTACTCAATTTTGCCCTGAACAACGGCGTCAGACTTCCTTCGCTGCTTGCACATGCTACGCTGGTTCCAGAGGACGATGAAGATTCCCAGGGACTGGACGACGTGGCCGCTTTAGACTGGGACTTGTGGGGACCCTTGACTTTTTCATTGGCATACTCGGTTACCATGGGCCTTTTGGCGCCTAAACTGCAGACCAACGTTGTTTTCTCGGGAACCTTCTCTTTCACGTGGCTCTTCTACTTGGTTGTGGGCTTGAACATCCAGCTTTTGGGCGGAACGATCTCCTTCTTGTCGGCTATCTCAGCTACAGGATACAGCATGTTCCCATTGGTGGTTGGAGCACTCGTCAATGGCCTCCTTATCAAGTGGCGCTTTATCCGTTTGATCATCATGTTCGTTCTCAACGCCTGGAGCGTGTATGCTGCCCAGATGAGCCTACGGTGCCTGGGAGTGCTTCCGGGAAGAGTGTTTTTGGCAATCTACCCGGTGGCCTTGATGTATGCTGTTCTTAGTTGGCTTGTTGTTATTACATAGTCTATGAAAGTAACAGGATGAATGCTAGAACCACGAGACAGCTGATGTGCGGGAGGCTGGAGGCCAGATTATGCTGCTCGGGTTGGGATGTGTTGTTGCGAGCTCCAGAGCTCGACGAGGCCACGGCCACCAGGGATGCCTTAGAAGTTGTGCCGCTCAGAGTAGCCGACAGGCTCTTAGTCAGACTCAGGCTTTTGGTCAGACTCAGACTCAGACTCAGACTCAGACTTGACTTCAGCCCGGAAGCTGCTTCCACCAGGTAGCTTTCTACCCTTGGAGCGAAGCCCACGCGGCTGTGCTCGAGATCAAAAATCGTATAGAACTCGCTGAGGAAGCTGGCGCCGAGAATCCAGTTGTCCAAGTCCATGCCTTGCACCTTCGATGCACAGTACCCTTGGAGCACCGTCAGCTCGTACGCCAGAGCCTTGATGTTTCCCACAGGGAGGTTGAAGGTGTGGTTGTCGATGACGAAAGATACATTGCCTGTGGCATTGCACCTGAATGCAAAGTTTCCCTCTGAATCACCAATGTAGTCTGAGCCGAAGATGGCCTCATGGAAAGCCGTGGCGTCTTTCATGGGGAGAGCCATGCCCGTAGTGCCCGTGTCGATGATGGCGCTTCTGCAGCCGTTGATGACGGTGTTTTTGTTGGAATGCACTTCGGTGATGTTCAACATCCAGAACAGCTGGTCGTTGGTGAGCACATCACAGTATTGAATATCGGAGGATGCCAATTCCTTGGAGTACTTTGTGGCGTCCTTGCCTGCGATAAACAAACCGCCTAGCGTGCCGTTGGTGGCGGCTCCATCAAGCACAATGGCGAATTGCATGGCGTCAATGTCGCCAGAGTAGTAGAGCTGGTGAAGCATGTTGGATTTCTCCCGATCGTCGTAGCGGGCCTGGACGCCGAGGATGCCGCTAAGATTGAAGTTTTCAAAGAAATCAGGCGCCGTCAGTGCCAAACCGAAGGAGTAGTTGGTGAGTTTGAGCAGATCGCCCAAGACGAACTCGAGGTTGTTTTCAGCCGCATTGACCATCTCGCCGTTGACGTGGCTGCCCGAGTACGAGAGGGAAAACGACTTTGAGGTTTTCACGGAACTGGAGTATTTGGCACCGTTGGAACAGGCGCTGCTAGTACACGATTCGTTCATGATCCACGAGATGCCGCTGCCAGTGTCCAAAAGAAGCGGAAACTCTTTTTTACTCGACTTGTCGCCGATTTGCAGATTAAGATAGTAGATGGACCGAGCCTTGTCGGTCATCAACGGAAGCACCGTCTCGCTAAACTGGATGGACGCCTTCAGCGACAGTTGAACCTCCAGCGACTGTTGAACCTCCAGGACCTTGTGGATCTCCACGAGAGGCTGGACGTGTCTGCCAGTCAGGGAGAGCACCTTGTCCATGCCTGGAACACGGAAATCCACCACTGGAGCGAGCGCTAGCGCTGTGGGAAGAAGTGTCCAGAGAAGCATGGTGGTGGAAGGGTTGTGTGAAAAATGAGATCAAGACGGGACACGCCAGATCGCGGTAGGGAAGTGAAATGAAGCGAAAGGAGGGGGTGTAAAACGGGCCGAAGAAACGAACGAAAGTGAAGAATCCGCTGGGTCTTATAAAAAAAAAAAAAAGAATCAATAACAAAAGTTGCTCGCCGTATATGGCGTGGACGAGGGAGGCTGGGTTTCTGGCTGCGAGTCAATGGCGCATTGTGTTTGTTTTTGTCTCGCGTAGCGAGGCGGTGGAGCCGCATTCAACGTTCTGTTGGAAAGGGCCCGGCGTTTATGGTGGTCTAGTGGCGGGAAGAAAAAGAGAATTTGGGGTTTTGATTTTCGGAAAGCAACGTGGTTTTATAGAGTTTTTCAGATCCCGAATTCCAGCGTTTTTAGACGTTTTGGGCCGTGTCGATCAGCGTCCTGGGGTCGTCTAGCTGAGCCGTCTGGGTGCGAATTTCTCGCCTGGCGCCGAACCAGACCAATCGAGAAAACCAGCATTGTCCGACCCCACGGCCAAAAATAGCCCCCGAGGGGATTTCAAAAAATCCAAACATTTTAATATATAGTTTTCACTTCTGCCTCTTTCTTTAAGTAAAAATAAAAGTTACAAATCCCCCGTTGATTGACCATTGACTGGGGTCTCGCGCTGGTGGTCTGCGGCGGTCCACCTACTACGGCTGCAACTGTGGAATTCGAGGCTGGCAAAAACAAACGCTTCGCTCGGCAATTGCACCTCGACTCGCGAACAAAACACAATAAACATGAAAACATTGAAAATTCGGAAACACGACCGTCCTACTTTTGTCCTACTCGTTTCTGGCCGGGGATTCTAGAAGACGCCCGGAACAGTAAACACGGTTTTGTGATCCTGTGCCTCCAGCCGAACCGAGGGCCTCTAACCTATACTGCCGCCTTGACGTTCTAGAAGATCCTGCAGTGGATGGCCGGGTTTGGAGAATTCGGGAAATTTCAATCTAGAATTTATGGATTGGTGGTTATGGTAGGGTCATTCTCGTATTTCGCTGCCTACTGGTGGATCATGGTTGCAAATCCATGCTGATCTGTTATGGCATATTGGCTCCACGTGGATTGGAGAGACTTTGTGGGATAAGGCGGTGGATCTACATAATGGGCTTCCATAGGGTGAATTAGAAAGTCTTTATGGAAGCTGTGGCGTTGGCGGAGCCCAAATATGATAAGCTGTTTTTGCATTCTTTTAGATGAGGCTTTGATTCGAAGCCATGGAGGTCTGTACTGACGGAATTTTCACTACTAGGGTGTGCGAACTTTGAACCGGTATATCTCGCGAACCACCGGTGCTATGGCATTTTTGAGCACACCATCGTGATCGTCACCACGCAATCTCTACAATGAGTCTAGTCACAAAAATTTTCACTCGAGTCAAAAATGGCCAAACCGAATAACACAAACAGTGACCCCAAATCATATGATTTTCTTTTGCGTTGGACTAGTCGGTTAGCTCAAGCGCCGAGCGAGGGTTCGACTCCCTCAGCAGAATAGACATTTTATGATGAACAACATGGATGTGAACAATCTCTGAGTGGCCATAAGGTCGCATAGATTAAAACACCTGCCTTCCTACTGAGAATGTTAATTTTTTTTGGAATTATTCTTGTTGCTTGTATTATTACACGATGCCAAATGATATGATTAGTTTCTCACAGTCTAGGTGCTCTGCTTCCGCCGCTTCTCTCTCTCCATGGCAGCGATCTTCTTCAAGTCGTCCTCACTGGGCTCGTAGATGTGCCAGATGGTGTAGTGCGGTAAGCCTCCCACACGGAAGCCCATCTTCTTGGCCATCTTGCCAAACGCCTCGGTCTCAGCGTGGTTCAAAAACGTAAACGCAGGGAAGTGGACGCCCTGGCGGAAGATCTTGGCCTTGGCGAGAATGGACACTCCGCCAACACCGTCCAAGTCAAGCACTTCGTTGGGATTACCATTGGCGTCTCGGAGGTAGGCCAAATGTACACGCCACGTTGGGTACTCGGCGTACCCTTCAACAATGACATCATCCTCGTCAAGCTTCTTGGCTAACTCAAGTGCCGGCTCTGACTCAACCCACGAGTTGAGATCGTACGGTTGTTCGTTGCCCAAGAACCCGGGCAATGGTCTCCAAATGTTAGGCACCATCACGTCATAGTCGAACTTCATCAAGTCTTGGATCACAGATCCAGGACACGTTTCGATATCGACGTCTCTCCAGTACACCCAGGAGTGGTGAGCCCTCAAGGCGCTGGCAGTAAGCCAATTTCTAGCACGGCCCATCAACTTTCTACGGATTCCTTGCACCTTCACGGCGTGTCTATCACTGAAGCCCTGGCCAATCACCTGGCCAAAGTCCTTGACGTAGATGGAAACAGACCGGAACGGGGTTCTGTAGCCCTTGTGCCATGTTTCAGGCGAGTTGTACGCCTTGCGCACATTCTCCATGTAAGCCTGGTCCATGTAGTTCTCGTACAAGTCGTTGGTGCCCCGAACAAGGTTGTTGCGTTTGTCCTGCTCGGCAGCTAGAAGCTCATCAGCCAACGTGCCGTTCTGCAATGAAATGGAGTACTTGAAGACGGATTCCAACGTGGTGTCACCAGGAGAGCAGTCAGAAACCAAAAATGCAATGTCAATCAACGAATGGTCGTAGGTCAAGTTCATGATGTTTTGGAAGGCCATGGGCAACACATGCTCGGCGTTTCTGAGGGGCATCAAAAACAACACCACCTCGTTGTGAGCCTCCCCTGCGGTGGTGCCCTGGTAGTCGTTCAAGTCGTGGATGTGAACGGTGTCTTTATAAATCTGCTCGGCCTCTTCGGTGGTGGAGGCATCTTCTGGCTCGACCTTGTGGACGCCATCCTTGGTCACCTTGTATAGGTCGTAATCCTCGGTCAAGACGGCTTTTTCTTGAATGGAAGGGTTGAATCCACTGTTTCTCTGAAAAAACGTCCACACCAATAGTAGGGCAACTGCCCCTATGAGGAGGCCTCGGAGCATTCCCCTCGAGGGTCGTCTGGGCCGGAATCGGTTATTGTGGCTGCGGGTTAGAAATCGTCCGTTAACAAAAATCACAATCAACATACATTGGAAGGTCAGATGCCTTGTCCTTGAAAACCATGGCGTGTGAGACCTAAGTGAGACGTAGACTGGCGAGCCAAACAAACGAAAAGTTTAGAAATAGCAGCCAGATGTCGGGCGCTGTCTGCAGGACGCCTTGCGCAATAAAGCCCCGTCTGAAACCACTACACCACTTCTTGGAGCCCATTCTCTTCCGGTTTAAACCAGTGTTTCTTGAGGGTGTCCCAGCATGCTCTGGCAAGCTTTTGGGCGGCCTCCTCGCTTCCGTTCGACTGGCCCTCAATGTACACCTTGAGCTTGGGCTCGGTTCCGGACCCTCTGCAAGTGAAGCGCACCTGCTCGCTAGAGTGCGGTGGTTGCAAAACGGCTGTAATCATCTGAGACAGTGGGTCTACGGGAAGAATCGGGACATGGTCTGGGGTGGACAGCTCATAACCGATAGTCAAATCTCTCCATTCGGTGACGTTGAAATCACCAAGGGTGGATGGAGCGTCACCCGGGAATGAGTCCCGGATTGCCTGAAAGATACCCGGTGTCTTCAGGGTGTCGAGCTTGTAGTAGCCATTGCACTCCTTGAACCAGCCGTACTTCTGGTAGATCAGCTCCAACTTTTCAATTGGGTCCTGCTTGCCGTCGCCAAACCACTCCTCGTAGAGTTGAAGCCACATCACGGCCGCGGAAATTCCGTCCTTGTCATTCACCACACTGAACATGTACCCGATGGCCTCCTCATAGCCAAACGGCACGAGTTTTCCGGCCTTTTTGAGGTCAATGGCTTTGTTGCCGATCCACTTGAAGCCCGTCAAGGTGTCCTGGAAATGGCAGCCTGTTTTTTCGGCCAATGAGCGCAAAAGCTGGGATGACACTGTGGAGTTGAGGAGCCATGTCTCACCCAAATCAGCTTTGCTGGTACGCTCTTCGATGACATAGGCGGCGAACAAAATACCAATTTCGTTACCGGTGAGCTGCTGCCACTTGCCGTTTTTGCGTTTAATGGCCACACTGAAACGATCGGCGTCAGGGTCGTTTGCAACCACAAGCGATAAGCCCTGAGCATCAGCGCGAGCTATAGCCAAATCCAAAGCACCCTTCTCTTCAGGGTTGGGGAAAGGCACCGAGGGGAATTTGGGGTCGGGAAACGCCTGTTCAGGAACAACATCCACGTCGGTCTGCTTGGCGTGGAATTTCTTGAAAATCCTCGAGAACATCTCAAGGCCCACTCCGTGCATTGGGGTATAGACAAACTCGTAGGAAAGCGCCGATTTCTGGATAAGCTGCTCGGCGACGGCCTCCACGTATTTAGTCGAAAGCTCCTCCTTCACAAGCACAAGCTTGCCCTCCTTCAAGCCCTTCTCAAAGTTACCCTTGACATCCCACACTCCGCGGTCTTTCCACGGTTCGAGATTCTCGTCAATGCTCTTAGCAATGCCAGCATCGTGGGGTGGGATGATCTGGCAGCCGTTTCCATAGTAAACCTTGTATCCGTTGTCCTTAGCAGGGTTGTGAGAAGCTGTCACCATCACACCTGCTGATGCTTTATAGAAGTCTATGCCAAAAGGGACCATGGGCGTGTGCACGTACGCCTTGTCGCCACCTTTGGTGTCTGGATCAGACTCGTCAGAAAGGCTTTCTGCTGTTCCCAAGTAGTACACGGTAAACCCGCTGGCCAAAGCTACACTGGCGGTGATTTCAGCGTACCTCTGTGAATGGAAGCGGTGATCGTAACCAATGACCAAGGAAGGATTCTCTGTTTTTGCCAAATACGAAACAAGACCCTGGGAAGCCTGCAATATGGTCACATCGTTCATGTGGGCAAAACCCAGCTCCATTGAGGAACGGAGTCCTGCGGTTCCAAAAGCGATTCTCTTTCCGAGTTTTCCATCCAACTCCTTGTACTTCTGCTGTTCCTGCAAAGTTTGGATTTCTTGACGTGACAGTTCGTTGGGATCCACGGCAAGCCACTGGGCCACCAATTCGTCTATTTTCTTTCTTTGTTCTTCGGTGTACATTGTAGTATTTCCCCAGAAGTTTCGATGCGCACCTGCAAGAAGCCGTACGATACTATGAGCTGATCGGAGTTGCAAAACATGGAGTATTTATATTAAAGAGGAAGGAATGAAAATTTACTTTTGTACATCATTAGCGATAGGGGTGTCGGAATGCGGCCGGTGAAGCAATTCGTGTTGGTTAACACTGTCTTTCGGAATGATCCAACGTTACTTCCACCTCTGAGCCACTCATCCGGCTTTTGACTTCACCTTTCCGTTTGAGTGGAAGCCTGGAGGCTGTTTGCAAGAAAGCAAGAGATTTTCATAAAAATGAATCTTTTATCACCTCCAGAGGGTCAGATATCATCGCACATACCCTTTCATTAAACATCAAGGGGGTAGCGAAGCCAGATTCTTCGTATCGTGTGAGGCGACAAGGCAAGGAACGAAGCAATGCTGTTTTCATCGTCCACATGTTCAATCAGATTAACGGAATTCGTGGAATCCAACTTCAAAACATCAATATCCCATTGCTTCGCCTTCTTATCGTAGAAACTGAAGGAAATCTCCCTTTCGGCTCTCGAAGACACTGCAAGCACTTGAGAAGACTTATCTATGGCAAACTCCACTCTATCGCTGTACTCAAATTGCTGCACCAACGAGTTTTTGCGTAGATCGAACAATTGCACAACACCATTTCCGGTCTCATTAGAAGCGACAAAAAGCCAATATCCGTTGTAGGCAAATTGGATCTTATTGACCCGCGGGTACTTTGTGTTGATGCTGGCGACCCTCTCGTTCGTAACAATGTCGTAAATCAAAACCTGGCCAGGATGGCTGGTGCCTATTGCTAGTAGTCTACCATCCACATGAAGGGCCTGGAACGACATTTTAAATGGGACTCTTTCGGACCTGTAGACCGGACGATTATAGCTGAATACGGTCCAGTAGTCTGGCGAGAATCCAATCGACACGGCGACAGACGGATGGGCAATGATTTTGTGGATTTCGCCCGCCTTGTGGTTGAGCGGTTTAGGTGGACCTCCGTTGATGGACTGGATGTAGATTGTGTTGTTGTTGCATGCGGCCAAGACCTGGTCTCCTCGTCCAGTGAAGCAGATGTTCATGATATTGGCTCTCTTGTGCATCACTTTGCCCTCAGGGTAAATGAAGATGGAGTTCAGGCCAAACACGGCGGCCTTTCCTGTAGACCCAACAGCAAGCTGCCCGAAAGGACGCTGTATGTCGTGAGTTGTTTCTGATGTATGGATCCTCCACAGGCCGGCGTTCAGAACATCCAATGTGATCTTGAGGTTCTTGTGTTCCCTGAAAAGTCTCTCTCCAGCCTCCAAAATGTTCTGGGCAACTTCTCCGGGCAACTCTCTGCTGGCTGAAATACGTTTCTCCAACGGCACTTCGTCAGACAGCCTTGACTCTGTCGTTCTTGAGTCTATTGACTCCTCTGTCTTCTCTTCAACTCCATCACTCAGTTTCTCATCCACAGGTGGCTCGTTCTTTGCAAACGACTGTGAAAGCTCCGTCAACGCCTCACGTGCTTCGTCCCTCTCCTTGAGCGCCTTGTTAGCTACTCTGACTGCAGCATCGTACTGATACAAGGAAGCGCTGAGCTCTTGTCTAGTGTTGTTGAGCTCTTTCCGCAAAGTGAATGTCTCAAGAGCCAATGCGTCCCACTCGTTCTGAAACGCCTGCAACATGGTAGGAATTGAGTTGAAAGCGGCAGGTCTGGGTGGAACTATGACAGGATCTTTATTTTGAATAACGATGAGTTCCTCTGTTGTGAGAGCCTCTTCGCTGATGGGGTCTTTTCCAGTGGTGGATATGTACAGCTCTATGAGTCTTTTTTCGAAAATGCATCCGCTTTTGGGCGACACGACCGGCTCCTGGGCCTCCTCGCCTGAAAGGGAGCAGAGCATGATGAAGTTGAAAAGATGCGAATTCGCACAGTAGTAGCTGAGGCATCAACACTTGAGCATGGCAGGTGCAGATTCACGGAAATGATAGAAAAATCATTTGAGATATTTATTTAAATTGAACTTGTCTGATTCACTTGATTTATTGGGATATTCAGGTAATGCACTCCAAGACGGTTTTGCAGAAGTGGTGTGGTTAGATGAGCTGATACCTCATGCCAATCTGAGTCTAATTCCACCCTCAAAGATTAATTGAGCTTCTGACAGATGGGTTGATCTTTCAGTTACTTATGAAGGTTTGTTTGAATCTATGGTTTTCTTTCTGTATTATAATACTCTCTTTTGATGTTTTGTCTCGGGTTTGAGAAATGGCTGCGAATAACCATGTGGTAGCAAAATGTTAATTTCATTCCACAAAGACAAAACAACTTAGCTTTTATAAAGATCTCCAAAAGCATATTTCAGACTTCAGGAAAGCATATTTCAGACTTCAGGAAAGCATATTTCAGACTTCAGGAAAGCATATTAAGAGATGCATGCTGGATCTTCTTCCAATGCACGAGTTCACCAGTCCTACCCATTACTCCTACAATAGTCAATTTCAAATTCATGCCGCATAAAATAAATCTGACAGCTACGCTGCCTAACACAGGTGACCCTAGTGGTACCCATAGTTCTTGTGGTCGTAAGCCATTGGTGGCTCTTGCACTCTCTTGTATGAGCGTCTGGTTCCTGAGAAACAGCCGCAACAGTAGCCAACGGCTGCGACAACAATCGCCAAAAATGATGCCACCATGGCAGACCATGCAAACGCATAATATTGCACAGACAAGAATGATTCCAAGCCAAACTCGTCGATCTCCTTGTTCACCTCAGATCTCACAAACATGTAGGCACCAGTACTCAAACCGGCGCCAAGAAGTATGCAAAGGAAGAAGAGCAACATGAGGATGAAGTTTAGGCATGAAAGACAGCTGTTGTTGGGTGAGCAACAAAGACCCACAGACTGGAAAAGGAAGGAAATAAATGCCAAGCCTGTACCAGCAATAAGCATAGCCAAAGCAGCCCTGGTGATGTTGTTGAGCAAGGTGAGTTTGTCCTTCAAATCACCGGGTAAGTTGAGGTCCTCGTAGTCCACAGATGCAATGATCGCAAGAAGCTGAGCCTTGATGGTGGTGGAGAGCTCTTGAGGAAGACCGTTGAAACCGTCCACAGAGTTGGTGACTGCGTTGGTCATTTCACGCTTGACAAGGTCCAATGGGTCGAACTTGAAGCCAGGCTTGGGAGAGCTACACCAGACAAACTTCACATCGTCCTTGTTGAAGTTTTTGCCAAAGTCACCCAAGTTGTCAAGAAGCTCATCGGTACCGTTCACACCGTTCATGTAACCTCTGCAGTAACCCCAGTAACTGACACTGTAGTAGTCAGCCAATCCCAAGTCGCGGTAGTCCAATTCAGAAACAACGCTCTGAATGTCGATACCATCAGCGAGACCAGCTGCAATGGTGGCCAAGGAGTCGGGGATAGAGGCACTAGCGGCCAATTCGGAGATTTTGCTAGCAATTTCGTCGGTATTCACGTCGTTCGTGGCAGATGCAACCTGTGCAGTGAGACTGTCAACATTGATGCCACCCACGGCTGAAGTAATATCACCGCCGACATTGCCGAGTGCCGACTCAATGTCGCTGACAACGTCTCTCTTGGGGAAAGCAGTCACAAGGGATTCAGTGACAGTAGGAGTTGGTTTGACATCCACATTTCTGGGCATGTTCGCAAAGTCCCTCTTAATCTTCAGGTTGGCACCAGCAAAAAGCTTGCCCACATCTAGACCGGTTATTTGGACGCCGATCAAGTAGTTCTCAGTAAGATGACTCTGGTTCTTGTAGGAGCCCACGATGGCCCACGGGCATAGCACAATGGACGCTATGGTAAAGAATAAGACCAAACAACGGAAAAACATGGTCGCTTAGATTGAATGATGAAGAATCTCAGCAAACAGCTTCTTATATAAACGCTGCTGGGGGAGATGCAGACCTGCACAAATAGACCGCGTGCTCAGCGTACACAAATGATTTTAGGTGGATCGGCGAGGCGCGGGGGATGCAAACTGGGATCACAGCGTCATCTCGCTTGCGATCTACCAACGGCTTAGTTGCGACTAACCTTAACAAGGGGAAATTTTCGAGAACCTTTTTTTCGTTGGACATGTCAGTGAACCTTCGACTGTTTGATTTCTGTTCCTGTTCATTGTGAAGTTTTTTTTCTGGATCTATGCCGCGCCGACCATTATTCTTTGCTAGTCTGGGGGCTGGCTAAGTGCGGTGTGTTGACATGCTGACAAAAATAGAACTGGGCGCAAAATGGCTGTTCATCATCACCAACACAACTAAAGACCCTCAGCCTGCAACCGTGCTTAACCGGGGGCCGAGCCTTCGGTTCAGCCCTGTACCGGTGCAGCTGTAATTAACTTTGGCCCCTATTTTTAAATTCTTGGTAAATGGAAAACCTTCCCCATTGTGTAGCGTGCTCGTCTAGCGAAAGCTTAGATTGTTCCTCTAATCATCAAGATTATCGAGTTCGTCCAAAAGCTCTTTTTCAAGCTCGTCGATATTGTCACCGTCCTCTTCCGTCTTGCGTTTTTTGTGATCACCGTTACTATAGTTATCACTTGCGTCTTCGTTATCACTCTCATTGTCCTCTGGCGCCTTGCGCTTGTTCGAATAGAGACTTTTTACGAAAGACATACCTGCGCCATTGCCGCCGTTGTTGGCTGCTTCCATGCCGCCCAGACTTTCGTCCCCCTCAGCCTCGAAGTCGTCCCCTTCTTCATCATCATCACTGATTCCAGCCAAGAAATCATCAACTTCCGCGTCAGCCTCGTTGAAATCGTAGTCATCAATCGAAGATAACGACCCCTGGCGTGGTCTCGAATCGGCTGCGGCGCTGCGAGCCTGATCTCTTTCCTGTTGTGACCCTAATGCTGTCTGGTATTTCGTGACATCGTTCTCTGAAACATACCAATCCTGTTCGGGAAGCTCTATCAAGTAGTCACTCTCAGCCACAGGCTTCCACAGGCTGAGGCATGCAAAGAGCCAATCTGGGTTGACCACTTTAACTCCGGGAACGGTTTTTTTAGCAATTCGGACTTTTAGTGTGAGTCCGGTCTTCATGTATGAGGCATTGGGGTCACGACAAACAACGTGAGTTATTTCTGGCAACACTTCGTTCACAACCTTCATTCCGAATTGGCGACACCAGATGACTATATCAGCGTTGTTCATGTTCATGCCCAACGGTAGAATGCCTGAAAGTAAGACAACCACTCCATTCAAGCAGTCGAGTTTGAGCCGCGGTATTATCGTGGTAAGATCAGGGCGACCGAGTGCTTCATTTTTTTGAAAGCTATCGTATGCTTTGAAGTATTGCTCGTGGATATAGTCCAATGCTTTTTCGAGGGTGATAAGTTCGGCGTCGTCGTCGTACAAAATGTGTTCTTCCTCCTCCTCCTTATCGGGTTCAGAGCTGTCCTCGTGATCGTGTGCTATTTTGTCCATTTTGTCTTGAAGTTTCGCCAATGGCCTGTCGTGTTGTTGTTGTTCAAGGTTTTGTGTACGTGATATCAGCTGTTCGAGAAGCAAATTTTTGTTGTTCTCACCTCCACCTAGTTCAACTAGACGATCCACTGGTGACGAGCTCTCCGAATCTGAATCATGAGAGTCTGAGTCGCCGGTTTCGTCTGGCGATGAGGATCTTGAGTTTGGCGTGGCAGAGCTTTCCAGACCATTTTTGCCAAGATCTGTGGGTTGGTCTTCTTCTTCTGCCTTTGACTGGCTGCTTCCTGGTTCGCTGTCACTGCCGTCATCCATTTCACTGTCTTGTGTTGAGTTCTGGAGGCGATCGTCGATTTCGGCCGGTTTTTCGTCTTTCTTGTCGTCGCCCATGGCCTCTTCGAGTCGAGCAAGGCTCTTTCTGTTTTTTGTAGGACCCACGAGTTGGCCATTTTTCTTGGGCAAAAAGCTGGAGTTGATATCGCCAATGCCAACGAAGAAATCGTACGGAACGACCTTGATAAGATTGGGGTCCCATTGCCATACATCGCCTCTATCGTCAATAATCACCACCATCAGCTGATCAACAGGGAAAAGTCGTTTGAGGTTTTTGTGCGTTAATGAGCCGCTCTCGTCACGACTCAAAATGCGATCACCAAAGTAGATGCCCTTGGGGTCGATGATGTTGGCAATGGCTAAAGCGTAGTTCCTCGTGGCCATTGTGTAGATATGAAGCTCGTAGCGTTCAGCAACGTTCGCCAAAAACTCCTTGAGTCCAGGACGCAACTTGACGTAGTACCAGCATTTCGTGGGTCCTGGTCTGGGGCCCATCCAGCCTGGAGGCACAATTGGCTCTTCTTCAAGGCAGAACGACTGCACGTCCTTGACAAAGGGGTAGTTTGGATTCTGAGGATCTTTTTGCCATTCGCCCACCGTGGGGTCCACCGTAGCGTGGATGACTGTCTGGTCAAGATCAACCACCAAAATAAGCTTCTTTTCCTTGGCCAACCGCTCAGTCGCGTTATGTTCGATCTTGGTCGCCTCATCGTAACTGATACGAAGCCCCGTGTTATCGTGGGACATGGCTATCGTGGCCCTATCTTCGTAATTGTATCCAGTGTAGCCCTTCTCGTCCTCCACGGCTTTTCCACAGAGAGCACACAAACCACCGTATTGCACGTCGTGGGTGCAAGGCTCCCGAATAGAGCACACTTCTATGCCGCTGTGGGTGATTTCCTCGCCCACATTAACATCCATCAGGGTGATTTCGCCCTCTATAGGGCTCTCAAACAGACCGATTCTCTCCACACGGATTTTTGGTGGATTTTCTTCTTTCGAGTTGGGGTCCTCCTGGTAATCCCAGTATCTATACTTGAGCAAAACAGCATATCGAGACACGGTTTCGCCAGGTCGACAGGCAATCGCCGTCACGGTCACTGGGAACGGTGCAGATGCTGGAAGCGATACCGAGGTCATTGAAGGAGCGGTATTTCTCGTTATCAGCAATAAATGAGTTTGGGCTTAAACTATATTATGGTCAGGGTGCCTGTTTTCATGGACGTGGCCGGAAATTGTCAATTTGCAAAATTAGCTGTTACCTTGAGCTGGGTATCTTGTGTTTGTGCTGCCATTGTGTATGGGTGCACGGGTTTCCTCCCGAAGACCAGGCAAGGCCATTGTGTTACAGCAACCCTTTTAGAGGTGGTGAAAGGGTAGAGGTTACGGAGTTGAAGGGTTAGAGGGTTTGGTGAATTTTTTTCATTTCGTGTCGAAGGGGCGTTTTTGGTGCTGCTGGTGTAGATGCTGGTTGAGACCTGAGAGTACACAAAAGGCCTGAAGAAAGAAGCAACAAAAGGTGCAGTAGAATTGGAAGTTTTGGAGATTGAGATTAACTGTATTGGCTTTTTGAAACGTTTAAATTGACTTGATACAGTCGTTGGGCGCAACGGGATGAGTGGAATGTGGCTGCGTTTCGCAACCGTTTCAGGAATATTAGGGTCCATGGTGGAGAACGGAGTTTTCACAAGGCATTGTGGATTGTGGGTATTTTGATGGGGCTGTTGGAAGTTGTCTTTTGATTGAGAGGGGTGGATGTGATGAAGGCTTGACGATCGAAACATGCTAACCTTGTAATATTCAACATCAACAGTCAAGAGCATACTTGAAAATCGCTTGCTACTAATACAGCGTACTCATCTGCCAATGCACACCCACATCAATTGATCCCATGCTTGGTATTATGCTATTTACATGTCGATCATGTCGTCTTCTTCGGACTCCTCAGAGACCTCCGGTGGGAAGTTCATCTCGAACGTAGTCGTCGTAGCGGGTTCCTGTGGCTGCGTCGCGTTGTCATTGTTGTTGAAGTTGAGGTTGCCCACATTGGTGTCCTCGTCACTATCGCTGTCGCTCAGCTCAAAACCATCCATTCCATCATCAAAAGGAATTGGTGCTGGTAAATTCAAGTTCTCGTTCAATGCGTTGTCAAGCTCGTTTTCAAGATCTCCCACATCGTCGTCGGCGTCTTTCATATCGAAATCACCCTCGCCCTTTTGCTCTGCAGCTTCACTGGTTGGCTGAGCAGTTTGATCGCTTCCGCTGGAGGGCCTCTTGCCTGCAACGTCAGTTCTGTTTTCCACGAGTTTGAAGTCGTCACCAAAATCGAGCTCACCAACATCGTCTTCCTCTTCACTCTCATCCAGAACATTGGCGTTGGGGTTGAATGCAAAGCCGAATTCGAAAGATCCGGCGTTCTTCTCCTGCTCCTTCTCTTGTCTGGCTCTCTCCTCAAGCAACTCGGCGATCTTAGCACGTTTCTTCTCATGAGCCTCTTTGGTCGCCTTGACGACTCGCTTGAGGCTCTTTTGTAGGAACAGCTCGTAGAAAGCATTGTCCTCCGCTGTAGGCAAAGCCGTGGCGTATGGTGAATATTTTTTCTCGCGCTTCAAGAGAATGTCGTCCTCTCTTTTCTTCCTATGTGCTGCAAGCTTCTTGGCTGCTCTCTCCTTGGCAGCCTTTCGCCTCATTGCGTAGTCCACGAAATCGAAACGTTTGGTATTTGAAGGAGGTTTGGGTTCTTCGGGAGCTGACTGACTCTCGTCTCCCTTGGGCTTCTCTTTTGTTTCACTCGCCTCTGCATTTGCCTCCTGAGGTGACTCGACATCAGTGGCATGGCCCTCTCCAGAAACACTCATGATATCCTCGTCATCTGAATCCAATTCTGAAAGCACAGCCTCTTCGGGCATCTCGCGGTCAATGAGCTTGTACAAGGACCCCTCGTTGAGTCTCAGCTCTTCCACCAACTTGAGCTTGATCTGCTTGAGTTCTGTGATTGTCTTCATGTAGTTACCCGTGTTTTGGTATGTGTAGTCAGGCGGAAGCGTAGGGAAGTAGTCAGGAATATATGATGGCCTCAGCAGCTGTCTTGGGATTAAGGAGGCCACCTCATGCTGGTCGTTGGCGTGGAACACTGCGGATGGATCGTTCTTATCTAGATGGAACTCTTCAGCATAGAAGTCATCCAAAAGCTGATTGGCTTGTCTGTCCAAAGTGTTCTTATGCAATTTCGTCGCCTCAGGCAACACCCGGCTTCGCTCGTACTCCAGGTACAAAGAACCAGGGCTAATACAGTTGTTGTGGAAACAAATATCCAAATCATGAACTCCAGGTCTCTTGTGTCTCTGCACTTCCGTGTACTTGTGAAGCAGCCCTATTAGTTTATGCAAGTATTCCGAAGCCAAGTTCCCCAATTCGTCTATGAACTCTTCTGAAAACTGGGGCTTTGCTTTATGAGTAGTAACAATCAAACCAGCAAACTTCCGTAGCTGAAAGTCCATTGGTTCTATGCAAGCGGTTTTGTCGCCGTGGGGAGCAGTGAGATGCAGTAGATGGCCCAAGTGGCGCTTATCTGGTTCCACATAGTCGCTTTTTAGACTTTCTTTGATGATACGAGCTCTTTCCTTATCGAACTTCTTTTTCTCTTGTGCTTCTTTGTCTATTGAATCTCGACGGCCTGCGTTGCGTGTTCTATGCGCGACATTTGTCGGCTCCGTTGGTTCTGGCGATTCTGCCATTATGGTGTTGTGGAGGAAGTAGCTTGAGAGTTTGTATTGGTGATACTTCGGTGCGCGCACACACACTGTACTACTAGTATGTAGAAAGCCACTGGCTATACTTCGTGATGACATTCGTAGATGTATCAAATTTAGCTATTCGTAGCCCTTCCAGAGCTGTGCTGGCGGCGAGGCTTCACTAAGGAGGGACACTGGGTTAGTACACAGAGGCATTGAGGTGCAATGTTACAAAGGAAGCACTTAGAATCCACCCGACAACAAGTACTCAATGGCTCCCTGGACACTGCCGCCACTTCTCCTGAGCGCAGCGACATTCTGGTCAAAGTCAAAGAAGCCCATGTCGTTGAGCTGTCTCAACTGAGACTCGTAACGCTCCTCTGGAGGTCTGTCGTCACGAGGAGGAGCAGCAGCGCCAGCACCAGCACCGGCGCCAGCACCACCAAACATGCTGAACGGATCAGCGGGCATGCCGTTGGGGAAAAGAGATGCAAGTGGGTTGGCACCCACACCTGGAGTCTGACCTGGAGTCGAGCCCTGGCCTTCAGTCTGGCCCAGCGTCTGGCTCTCGCCGCCCTCGTTGACAGTAGGGTTGGCGCCTGGAGCAGGGAAAGCCAGAGCAGCGCCCTCGGCACCGCCGCCTTGCATGTTTCTGAGGTTCATCATGCTGCGCATGGTTTCCGGGTTGGTGATCATTTCACGGAACATCGGCAGCTGGAGCATCGTCCGGACCTGGGGCCCCATGGCACGGAGCTGTGGGTTCTGGTTGATCATAAAGTCCAACATCTGCGGGTTCAGCAAGAGCGCATTCATCTGCTCTTGGAACATCGGGCTGCTCATCATTTCCAGCATCTGATCCGGGTCTGGCATCTGTCCCATGCCGCCGTCGGGGCCAAACATGGAAGCCGAAGGAAGCTGTGTGTAGCCAGCGTACCTGGCACCGGTCAAGTCAGCCAATGGATTAAACGAACCCTGACCAGCAGCAATGTTGGAAGGCACATTCTGAGGAGAGGTGGATCTCTCTGATTCGGCAGCAGGCTGAGTAGAAGAAGCAGCAGCAGCTGGCTTAGGTGCCGACAGCTTTACCATATGAACAGCGTGGCCGTTTTGGATCTTGTAGGACGCCACGGTTTCCTCGTCCTTGAGGACCTTACCAGAGTAGATCAAACGCTGTCTTTCCGGAGGCACATCAGCCTGGACGGAGATAAGAGCCTTGAGGTCGGCGATGGAAGCAGAGGTCTCCACGGAAATCTCGTACTTCTTGTCGCCCGACGACTTGACGTTGATGGTGATTTCAGACATGGTGGTTGAGATTAGGTGAGATCAAGAGATATAGGGCGGGTGTGCGGGTTTCCATACCCTTCCATGGAGGTTCCACGGGGTGATCTGGGGATATTTGAAAAAAGGGCAGAATGGGTTGGAAGAGGTGAAATGGGTGGATTTGGGGTCTATTTATACGATTTTGAAGGAGGTGGCGTGGCTATATCCGGGGTTCTAGGGTCCGTGGGGCGGTTGCAAAATGCGAACCACTTAGTGGAGAGGACAGGCAGGTGTTTCATAGTTGTGATTATTTTTGAATTTACTTGAAATTGATTAATCGAAGTTTTTGATGAATGTAATTGGCTGTTGTAAGTAAGGTTGTTTTGAATTGATCTGGAGAGATCAGGGATGGTTGTAGTAAGGTGGGTCTGGTGGCCATGAAGGTCGATAAATCACTGATATTATCGGACACTGTCCAAAGTACATTCCAGATTTCTTTGAACATTGAGCCTGCTTTCAAAAATCACAGCCTTAGCTTACCAGACCCACAATGGGATTGCGCTCCGAAGTTTGCCACTGCCAGATTATGTAATCGTGACATAATGCCCTGAATGTGAATTGTGGAGCTCTTCCAGGGAGGGTGTTGATATATGGATTTTGGGATAGTCGGACAAATTGAAGTCTATTTAACGGCTCTAGTCTATTTAACGGCTCTAACGCTAAAAAGGTGACGTAACATGGTGGAGTGGTCGTCGTCTAGCTGTATCACCTTCTCGATTCCAATTAGGTATAGGTTGTACCAGACCGATTAAAAGGGCTCTTTTGAGCTAGATTGAAGAAACTCTTTAAATTTGATTTGAAATGAAACCACTCGCAATCTAAACCTTTTGATCGAGTGCATTGGCTATTGATCAACCAATAGACCATTCCATTCATACCAAGAGGGCAATCACACTTTCCATATCAGCCAGCTGCAACCAGCCCTCCCAACAGCACCTACTCCTACAACACATCTTACAAATCTCTCAATTAAAACATGGGTCGAGAACGCCGTTCTCTATGCAAAAAGCGCTTTGCGCTATATTAAAGCCCTGCGGTTGTCTGTGGCAAGGCGACTAATCAATAGTCAATCTCCTAGAATGCAAAAATGCCTAAACTATGGCCTCGAAGGGCACACCTGTGGATGCAAATCTGAAAAGTCAAGGTAGCACCTCCTCCAATGATGCTCAAGGAACTGATTGCAATTGAGTGCCTCCACTGCACCCAAAGTCAACCACCTCACTTGACCTCGACCTTCCAGCCGCAGTCCAAACAGCTGTATGCCTTTTCGTCGCCAAAGTCTGCTTTGCCCTTCGTCTGCATCAACAGCCACTCACCCTTGGCTGGAATCTTCTTACACTTTTTGTTCAAGCAGCGGGCCAGCGTCTTCTTGTAGCGAAGACCGCACGAGTTGCACAATTGGCCCTCCTTGATTGACCAAGATGGTCTCCAGCATGGAGATTGGTCAGATCCACAGGAAATGCACACTCTAGCAGCCTGCTGACCGTGGCGAGGAGGCAGTCTCATGAGCTCCGAACGAGACTTGTCCTTGACGGAAGGCGGGGTGATGGGAATGAACTTTGTCTTTTGCTTCTTCTTCGGACTCGAGGGCTCGTTTTCCGTAAACGAGTTTTCTGGCGTAAAAGGAACGGTATTCACGGCGGCCACAGGCGGTCTGTATTCTGGCTGGTAGTAGCTGGCGCCAGCGCCAGCAGGGCGGGAAAGCTGGATAAGCGATTGGGCCAATTCAAGGTATTCCGGGTACCGTTCCACGTCGTTCATGTATGTCTTGTTGAGGTAGGTGTAGTTTGACTCGTAGGGGAAGTTGATTTTGCGCTCGGCGAGGGCGGGCAAGGACTTGCTGACTCTGGAGTCGAAGTGGGGCTTTACGCCCAGGGAAAGCTCGCTGATGGGTGGGAGTTTGACTGGTTCCTTTTGGGTGTTTGGCTGTGTCGCAGTAGTAGCTGCAGTGTCGTTTTTCGCAGCCATTTTCAAACCAGCACCTCCATCCATAGGCCTGTTGTGGGCATGGGCCTCGAGATAACTATAAGAATTGAGAAAAGACGGTTTTGCTCTGATCAGGTCCAAAAGCCCGTAGCGCCAGTTTTCGTCGTGCGGCTTGTATGTGTCGAAGTAGTCGAGCAGCACCGTGGGCACAATGGGGTCCTTGGCTCTTTCCAAGGCTGTCGAAAGGCTAGGAAGCGACACTCTTTGTGGTGTTTGTTTGAAAAGAGCGGCTTTTGGAAGCACGGCGGTGGCCGGGGCGGAAGGAGGCGAAGGAGGGGCGGTTCTAGACCGTTTGGTCAGTTCATGCTGGGGCTCCAGGTCAGCGCCCAAGTCGCTGTGGGAGCGTTTTTTCGAGTAGTTCAGCAGAAGCCCAGGCGGCGTGAGCAGGCGGAGCTTGAGCAGGTTGAGCATGGGGCTCCTGGGGTAATTCGTGTCGAACATGGGGTGCACCACGCTCATGGGTGATGCAGTATTAGATGGACCGGTGGGGCCTAGGTGGTAGGGTATGGATCACAAATGAATTGGTGATCGGTAGCTGTGGGTGGTGACCGGGTAGGTGGTGACCAGGGAGCTGTTTAGTATATGGTGATCAGTGTGTGGTCAGTGACGGTGTGACTGACGATGTGACTGACGATGTGGTGGTGATCAATGGGTCAAAGTCGTCAATGGGTGTCAATGGTAATGGGCAATGGGTATGGATACCTAGTTCAATGGCTATGTGCTAACGACTAATGGCTAGGGTATAAGCGAAAGGAAGGAGTAGATGGAATGGGTGAATTCTCAAGAAGATGGCTGCGAAAAGCGTGGAGGTGCAGCGGATCCGGCGCCTTAAATCAGGCTGGAGGTCAGATCAACGTCAGATCAAGGGGAGCGGCCGGATTGGGAAAAAAGTGCAGCGAAGAAACCCAGAAGATGGCCGGAGCGCAGGCTAGATGGCCGGAAACAGAAGAAAAGCTGGCGGTTCGGGATGCAAGCGGCAGCGGGGGCTGGCTGATTTTCACTGTTTTTGTGGAATTGACGCTGGCGGGTTTGTGCTGGCTATATATGGTGGATGCGGCCGTGGGAGTATTTTTTGGCCAGGGCGCTGGAGGGAAGGCAGCATGGCCCGATTCAGCGGTAGGCTCGCTGAATGCGGAAGGTGGCCCCAGCCAGATGCAGCGACGGCGCGGGAGCGTGCTGCTTTCAGGTGAGACGAGGTGGGCTATATGCAGGTCCTGAGAAACGGTTGCAAAAATGAGGGCCCCAGGTGACGAGGCCTTAGTAGGAGGGCGTAGTTATTGAAAGTAGAGGTTTTGAAGAGATTGGGGGTTACGTCTATGGCAGGGGGGGTTTTATAGCCTCCTGCACATAAGCAATTGGCAAGCCAATTGCCGAAATCCCTTTGGTTTCGCTTTTCTGCTGGCTGATCCCCGGATCATTCCACAAGTAGCACGCACGGATCCTGAACGGGCCAGCGTCCTTATCTCATAAAGCCCAATGCGGAATGGAGGCTCTTTTCGATGAGGCCCAAATTCCCCGTTTTTCGTCAATTCCATCCTTTTAGGTCCTTCCCAATCCGATCGCCCCAATCCCTTTTGGGTTAGCAAGGGTGAGGCTGGTTCAGGAGCTCTTGCAGCCAGATCGCGAGAATCCCATTTGGGTTCCTTGCTGGCAGCCTCATGCTTTTTGCAACTTTCTACAACTTTCACTAATTCTTT